TGCATTACCAGAAGTGTGATGCAATCTTGGATCTAAGATTTTAAGATTTTAAAAAATGTTATTGGATCTAAGATTTTAAGAAAAAAATGTAAAAGATACAATTTATTTCCATTTTTAAAGTGTGATAAAAAGGATTATGGATATGTCCTCAATTTTATCCTCAACTACTCTAAAACACATTTTTAATGCAAAGTATTTTATTGTATTTTTTGAGGTAGTATTTTTTGTATTAATACGTATTTCTTCCTTAGACTTTCAGTTTAAAAAAATATTAAACATTACTTCCTCCGTCCCAGTGTATTTGTCCAGTTTGACTTTTTCGGGTCAAACTAGACAAACTTTGAGCTTCAATTAAATAAAAACCGTAATGTATTTTAACATAAAAATAGCTTTATTGGATTTATAGTATTGAGAACTTTCAAAATTGTATTTCATTATGTTAATATACAATATAAATTGAGAATAATTGAAGTTCAAAGTTTGTCCAGTTTGACTCAAAAAAGTCAAACTGGAAAAATACACTAAGACGGAGGTAGTATAAAAATTCATTCAATTAGACTTTTCCTAAAAAAACACCTATACAAATCTACTTTTCATTTTATTTGTATTCTTTTTACAATTTACTTCCATTTGTAAAGGGTGATAAAGAAGGATTATGGATATGTCTAAATCTTTTGTTCTAATTTGAGGCTTTTGACAAAAAAATCAATATATCCAATTAGTGGATTTTATCTTTAAAAATGTCAGATGTAGAAGTTATGACTTTAAAAAATCTATTTGAGAATCATATTTTGAATGTTCATTTAAATAGGCCCCGTTTGGCATCAGCGTTAGAGATTAGCGTTAGCGTTTTCAAAAAGCTATCCGACGGTAGCCTTTAGCGTTAGCGTTTTTAGATTTAATCTACACCATTAAAATTTTATCCAAAACGCTAACGCTAATCGAAAACGTTGTTACCAAACGAAGCCATAGTTATTTTTTAGTTTATTTTTTATAGCGTGTAAATAATAACATAGTATAAATGTATGTTTACAATTTAAGAAAACGGGACCCCATGTTTTCCAATTCACAGGAAAGGATTGAGAAAAAAGGAGTGATAGAATATTGATATTTTATTATTCATATCCATACTTTATTTAAAAAGAGGTAAATATTACGTTTTCTCACCTAAAGAGTATAGCCATTACATATGGTAATTATGAAGTTAAAATGGTAATTAATTAGAAAATGATATTAAGCACGCTATTTATGAAATCTAATTACTTCGTGGTCGATAAATGGACTATAACTATTACTACGTATATTTGGAAACCGTGACTTCTTGCTCAACTCGTGGTCTATGAATGGACTATAACTATTATATTTGGAAAGATTAAAATGGACTATAATGAAGAACAAGGTAATAACTAACCAAAGTATTAATTATATAACGGTGTCTTTTTTATTATAAATCAACCAAGGTACATAAGAAATGATATGTGTAAATAATGAAATTGTTAAGTATTTAAAGATGGTAAGAAATTAACGTGCGTGTCTGAAATTATATTAATATAAAATGGACTATAACTACTGTAAGAATTAAATATCCTTTAAAATTTATATATTTAGGTTTAATAGCAAGAAAGGTAATAACCCGAAAGATATCCGAACCAAAAATATCCAATGTGATACCAATCTGGTTGACCCGATTGCCACCTCTACTTGTGTATTTTATACCATTTTTAAGTTTAAAAGTGATTCTTTTTAACTATAAAAGTATTTATGGTTTTAAAAACGAATTTTTGTATTATTCTTTTATAAACAGGTATTTTAAAACAGCTCTTTTAGAGTATGAAAATTACAACTTATTAAGCCTTAAAATTGCTTCCATGCATCATTCCTACAAGCTAAGAAATTACTAGTAAATGGTAATAATGGTTTTTAGTTGAAATAAAATAATAATAATAATATAAAAATTATAATAAAAATAAATATAATTATAATATTAATTAAGATTTAGGTGTGTAGATTTAAATAAAATAATGTGATTTAATCAAATAGTAATAATTATTTAATCCTTGAAAAATATTAATATTATTTTTTATATTTTTTGGTGATTTGATATTATTGAATTTGATCTGGTCAGATATGATCGGCCGCGAATATAGGTTGGGTGGAATTGAGTTTCCCCCTGACCCCGACGGGTAGAATTGGGCAATGGTCGTCATAAGTTACTAAACGAACGTAATACTTGGAGTGAATGAGTTGAACGTAGTTAGACGAATCCTCGCAAGGATCCTTCTAGGCCAACGAAGCAGATCTGATGGTTCTAGGAAAATCATTGAATAAGAAGAAGGTATTCACTTCGTTCAGTCATTTAATCCAGGCTAAGAATTCCTGACTCTCCCTTTGGTCGTACCTCTTTCAAATGAGTTTCACTATTCGTTGACAGAGATTCGTTGAACTATGTTCAACTCATTTCGTTGTTTCACATAGTGTTGAACTATGTTCAACGAAATGAGTTTCACAATTCGTTTCACTATGTTCAACTCATTTCGTTGTTTCACATAGTGTTGAACATAGTTCAACGAAATGAGTTTCACTATTCGTTGACAGAGATTCGTTGAACATAGTTCAACTCATTTCGTTGTTTCACATAGTTCAACGAAATGAGTTTCACATAGTGAAACGAATCTCTGTTCTCTGTTCTCTGTTCTCTAGTGACTTCGTACCTTCGGAAGGACCTTAGGTGTCAAATGTGATCCGAAGCTATTGCATCGTTTGCCCTTTTTATTGATTTTGACGATTGGATCTCTCTATGAATGGAAAAGGGGTGCTTGTGTTTTCGAGAAAAGGTCCCCTCCTTCAATATCATGATTGGGTCGACCAGACCAGATCATGAGCGAATAGAAAATAAAAAATGTACATAGCTGTTCCAGCCTCTGGCCTGATTTGATTGGATCTGATCTGGTTGGATCTAATCTGATCAGGTCTAATCTAATCTGATTTTAATAAGAATAAGTAATATGTAGCAAAAATAAGTCCTATAAAAGAGACCCTTACTTTCATTTTTGATCCTCACTTTGTACCTTATCATTTTATAAAATTATGTTTCTCTCAACAAAATATATACTTGCTTTTACTGGGGACACTTGCTTTTACTGGAAAAAACTACTGAAGGTAAGGACTGAATTCAAAAACATGACCATGAAGGAGGAGTATAGTATCAAAGAAGGATATAAATGGCTCATGGGAGAGAAACCAAAGGTGAGTTGGGCTAATGCAGTGTGGAATAACTGGACCCAACCAAAACACCAGGTTATAGCTTGGCTGTCCTGGAAGGGGAGGTTACAAACAAAAAGAAGACTAAGTAAATTCCTACAGATTGACACAAAATGTGTTCTCTGTGGACAACATGAAGAAGATGTCAATCATATATTTTGCTCCTGTAAGTACACCACAATAATACACCAGGAGATAGCTGTTTGGATGGGTGTGAATATCCAGGTGCAGGAACTGAAGGAGATAGAGGAGATGTTGGCTAGATGCAAAAGCAGAAAGGAGAGAAACTTGAGGGCTGCCACCTTCAACGCGTGTTGTTATGCAATTTGGAGAGTAAGAAACCAAATCATACATGGGAAGGAAGCAATGTCTACTGGGAAGTGTATTGATTATATAAAGTACCATGTAGCTATCTATATATTGCCCAAAAATAGGTAGTCTAATTGTATGGGAAGTAGAGGTAATTGCTGTTTAGCAAAACTTTGTATGTTTGATTGTGGATTAATATTTGCACTTTGTTCAAAAAAAAAAACAAAATATATACTCTCTCCGTCTAAATATCTCTTTCCTACTTTGACTTTACACGCATTTGAAGAAAAAAAATAAACATTAACCAACACTACCCTTCCACACCCTAGCACAGTCCACCAAGACCCCATCAGCCCAAACCCAACTGTCTGCCCCAAAATAGAGTCCATCAGGTGACCCACCAGATTCCAACCAGTGAATCACCGACGACCCACACGCTGGCATCCCTTGCCACCCAACCCAAATCATTGTTGATCCTCTATAGTTTGACACGCTGAAGACACCAAAAAACGACAATGAAGACTTCACACCTTTATTCTTCCACCGAATCTAATGCTAGGGGTACACCAAAAGAAAATGCTAGGATGCCACCACATGTACACCAAATACTTCGCACAGACAAACCAAAAGGTGTACCCCAAATGTACACCACCCTCTTCTCCACCATACATTTTTATTTAATTTTTATTTACTTATTTTTTTTAAATTTTTTTGCCTTTTTTTGTGGACAAGGAGGGGGTGGGGGACATATAGGGTACACCTTTGGTGTACCCTAGCATTTTTCAATCCAAATTGATGGAGGACACCAATATAATGGAGATCTCTTCAAATCTGAAGGAGGGATAGCCGCCGATAGAGATCAAAAAAGGGAAACAAAGGGAAATGTACGGATGAAGACCTGTTCAAATCTGGCAGAGATCTGTAGATCTGAAAATTGACAAAGGCCATTTCTTCTTCGACCTCGATGAACAGGGTGGTGTGCATTGGAGAGATTCACGATGAAGACTAGAGAGTATGAAGATGACAATGTGGTTCAAATGAATATGGAGCTGAGTAGTGGATTGAATGTGAAGAGATTCAAAGAAGAAAGAAGATTTGAAGAAGACTAATAGAAGAAGAAGAAGAAAAAAATCAAAGAAAAAATGGACGAAGAGAGAATTTAGAGATGAGAATGGGGTTGGTAAATGAAAAGGAAGATTTGGGTAGATGGAAGTAAAAATATGTGGCTGTGTGGTCTGATAGCAAATTGGGGTGGGTGGAAGCTTGTAAGGGTATTTAAGAGATTCTACACATAAAAACTTAACAAATAAAGATACTGGAAGAAATTTTATGAATGGACGAAAAAGGAAAATGAGAAAGAAATTTTTGGACGTAGGGAGTATATAAAACGAATATTTGGGCAGAATTCCAAACAAATGATACAAAAAGAGCTCCATTCAAAATCCATTGTTTCTCTTTCATGTCTAATACAGATTTGAACAACCAATCTCATTCAAAACTTACCAAGTTAAGGTTGATCAATTGATGTACAAAACAAAACAATATCAAAGATGCATTAAAGTTAAAGAAATGCAAAAAGTCTACTAGTATCCAAAATAACAAATTACACCGCTTGAAGTGCTCGGGGTCGAACACACAGCAGCCAAAGAAAGATCTATATGTGAAGTCTGAATTGTGGCCATTCTCAATTGATGCCGCCTGATTGGTAACACGGACCGGCAACTAGAAGAGTTTCTCCAAGTGGAGCTCAACAAAGGAGCAAGGATCAGGAATGTCGAAGTTTGTAAGGACCTGAATCCACCACATGCGAGTGAAGAATAGTGTCAACACTAATTAGATACTTATATGCAAATGCTGAAACTAACAGAAACTACAATGTACACAGTTTAAAGTACACAAGTGGCACAACTAAGGGTTCGTTTGGAATTCAGAAAATGTTGAGAGAAAATAGAGACGAGAAGCGTGGGGGTGGGGAATTTAAAAATTTAAGTTAAAGTCAATAAGAAACAATTATTTGTAAAATATTTGAAACATTAATCATAATTCATTTTCCTTTGCTTCCAAGTACAAACAGTTACATGAAAATAACTTTCCTTTGCTTCCAAGTAATTCATTTTTCATCTCTCGTATTTTCTGTGATCCAGCAGACATACCCTAAATTATGTCCAAGAAAATCACCAATCCAAATATCCAATAC